TCCATGCAGGGCCCAACCTCTTGCAAGGTAGCACACATCACATACTGAAAAGCATTCTTAAGTATGCACAGGGTACAATGATTGTTGGGGTTCTCTGTACTGCTGCCACAACCACCACAGAAATCAGACCTCCCAACAAAGGACTCCATGTGGGTTAGTAGAAGGCCTGACACCATCACTATTATTCTGGCTTTGCTGGGGTGGTAAAGGCAGGCAGTCTTGCACTAAAGAATGCACGAGGCTAAGGTTTCTCTCCTGTGGGACAGACCTCAGACCACTTGAAGACAGAAAGCAGTGCTCTAAAGAGGAGAGCAATTTCAGCCTACACAAAGGGCCTGACATTAACTCCTTAGAGGGCTCTGATACAGAGGCAGAAGCACAGGGTGGCAATCAGCTCCCCAAGAGCAGGGCAGAAGCCTGTGTGTAACCATGAATGTAAGTGATAAGCTGAGGCTTATCGGTTAACCACTTACACAGTGCTTGTTGAACTGTGTCTTAAATTAAGCACCAATTCTGTATCTGTGCAAGCAAACCCACGTGGAGTCTCATTTCGCCTGAATGCGCTCTGAACCAGGGAAACACAGCTTCCTTTGTTTGCATAATATCTAGCAAAATGTCTGACTGAGATCTCCAGGCATTATAATGATAGAAATAAGACTACATATACACTGCATGAAATCATCAGCTTTAAGCAAATGCTCAAAAATTCCCATGTGAAACTGTAAGTGATGGTTTCAAAGTGTTTTGAAAAATTTTAAAAGCAGATACATCCTGTTTGTTAAATATCAAAGTGGAATTTAATTTTCAGCCAAATTTTTTAAATGTAAGTCCAGTTGGTTTATATTTAAAAAGCTGAATAGCTAAACATTTTTTCATTCCTGATTAGCGTCACATCCAGATCTCAGCATGATTTTAATTAGACTCTTCTTACTGATCTTACACAAATATCATTCCACCGTATCTATCTAGGATTTTCTTATTTTTACACAACTAGTTAATTCCTCTGACATCAGAGTAAACAGCTTTGAATCCCATCAACTTGTTTCTAACAAATTTCCCATAGTACGTATGTAGCTTATAGGAGCAACAACATTCATGTGCCATAGTTCAGATGAAATTTACATCTCTAATACCTTGCTTTACATAGAACTTACGTACTATACTACTATGGCATCTGATCGATCTTGGCAAACAGGAATCTACTTATTCTCACATGGAGCTCCAACTTCTCTCTGACTACATTCCTGTTTTATGATGGTCATCATATCTAGCACTCACTTAACAGTATACAAGGATGAAGAATCCATTTGCCAGTGAAAACCATGAAGTATTCCATAGAAATAAGGGGGCAGGAGGAAAGCTTAACCCTTCCCCCCCTCCCAATATTAAAGTCACTTATTAAAAAAGGTTCTGTGATTGTGTGGACCAATTACAGGACTATAAAACCCTCTGCAGTACTGTTTACCTGAGTTTGTGGATAGATTCCTAATTCCACTGTCTATATGGCTTTTTATAGCTCAGACAAGCAGCTACATAAATAAAGATTGTCACCACTGCTACTCAGGAACTTGTGGGCAGTAACATGAAAAGCTATACAGATGCATACCGTCCAGTTTCACATTCTTATAATTTAGAGCTTTCCTAAGTGATAGCATAGGCAGGCACTGGAGACTACATTCATGAAGACTAGAAACACCTCAAACACTGAGGGGCATGGGGTGATGCTGGGGATTAGGCGGGGGGGAGGAGAGAGAGACAGAGAATCATGGGGCTGAGCAGCATGAGTCTGGAGCCGAGAGAAGAATCGAGGGGGACACAATTTTACTTTCCAGAAGCTGCACTTTCCTTTACTCTGCTCTTCTTTGCCTTCCTCCCCAACTAGTTATTTGGTTCCATTCTCACACTCACCTTTTCTGCATTACTCCCCCAACCTTCTCCCAGCCCCAAACTCCCCACCCCACGCCTTCTTCTGCTGCTAAAGTCCCTTCCAGACCCTCCTCACCCCGTCCTGCACTGCACCTTCCAACCCACATCCTGCATCCCTACCCCACTTGCTGGCAGTCCTGTCCCAGACACTGCACCCCTCATTTTTATTCCCACCCTAGAGTGTAAGGGAGTCTACAAAATCCACTAACACTGGAACCCCAGAAAAGCAAATGAGCTATGAGAAGCCCTGAGCCTCAGTCCTCCCTGTCCCTTCCCGTCACCCTATGGGGCTGGAATGCCAGAGGAGTGAGGTGTCCCAGTTGGGTGGCCACATCAGTGAGGGCTGGCAGTTTTTGGAGAAGTTTTCTTGCTACTTACTTGTATGGTCCCCAACTGATTTTTCTGTGGGTCAATGGCCCCACAACCCAAAAAAGGTTCCCACACTTGCCATGAAGAAAACATTGAAACCTTTTGTGTTGGACATAATATTTTACTTTATTTTAAATGAAGTTTGATAAACTAACATAAGAAAGTTAAAGCACTTAATCTGTTTAATAATTTAAATTAGAACATCTTCCTTAGCTGCAGCACTAGCAAAATGGCTTGGGCATAATTATGTAATTAATGGTGAGTTTCCATTAGCAATGGGTAGTCAGCAGAAAAGTTTGAAGAGGATGGGACCTCAAGGAAGGGGTGGGGTCCTGGAGAAGGAATGAGGTAGATCCTGGTTTGCCCTGACATTTAAAAAGTCATCTTGGTGTAAAAAGTTTGGAGACCACTGTTATAGGAGAAAGTCTCCATCCTGAACTTGTCCTTTTTGATGCTGGGTTAAGACTTGGGATGCTGAACTAAACTATTTGAACCCATCTTTCAGAGCACATGTACACATGCAAGCTAGGGATATCAGCATGTAGTTGACTATATGATTAACTGTGTGTGTAGCCTGGGCTTATTGGTTAATCTTGTCAACTACAAGCACCCCTTCCCCCTTGCTGCCTATGTATCAAAGGCAGCAAGGGGGGAGGGAGAGCAGGACCCCCCCCCCAGCCGCCCCCCCCCCCCCCCCCCCCATTGCTGCCTCTAATAGAGAGGCAGCAGCATGGAGGGTAAGGGGGGCAGGCTGGAGCTGATATGCGTAGGAAGCCGGCTTTCAAGCAAGCTTCCTGCACATGCTGGCTCCGCAGACTCATCTGCCCCCCACCTTGTTGCCTCCTACAGCCCCCCCACCTTGTTGCCTTCCATGCAGCCAGTGGCAGGGGCAGAGGGGAGGCAGGAGCTGGGGGAGCCAGCTTAAAAGCCTGTTCCGCCAAGATCCAGATCTCTGGTGCCACCTGTTTCCCTCTCCCCTCCCCCCCCGTGCCAGGGGTGGGGCATGGGAGGGCAGGAGAGGCTGCCACGATGCAGTCTCTGTCCATGGGGGAAGGTGGGGTCTGAGCTCCCCACAGACAGAGGCTGGTCCATAGCACAGCCCCTGTCTGCAGATGGTTTGAGCTCCCTGCAAACAAGGACTTCTGTTGCAGACCAGCCTCTGTCCATGGGGAGCTTGGACCCCCCAGGGACAGGGGCTGCTGTCACCCCAAGCTGTTGCTTCTATATCAGAAGCAGTAGTCAGCCAGTCTACACGAGGAGCTGATTTTTAAACTGGCTCCCCTCATGGACTGGCTCTTGCTTGCCACCCCACACTGATGCCTCTGACAGAGGCACGGCAGCAGCACGAGGTGGCAGGGGGGTTCCCAGGAGTGGGGCCAGAAGCACACTGACTGCCAGCCACACCTCTGGGGACTATCACAGTCGTGTAACTATTAAGATTTCATGAGGTTACACGACTTTTCAGTTACATTATAGCAAACATCCCTAATGCAAGCATGTGCGCAGACACATACATGCTTCAGGATGAGTTATCTTCCACAAACTTGGCATATTTTACAAGCTACCACAATAAAAGACTCTCATTCAATTCTTTCCTTTACAAATAAGTTAACAGATGTTTCAAGTTTCTTCTTTAACAAATACACTGGAAAACCTCTCTTTTTGATTTGTAATCGTGACATGGCCTAAGACTTTTAGATCATATCAAATGTCATTAGGAAAAGGGTCTATCATAGGAGTCATCAGAATTTTAAATGTGAATTGAAAAGTTTCTCGTCGAATGCAGAACAAGAATCTAATTGTTAGACTTATTCCCATCCCTGCTTCCAAAACCCTTCTTTTTGAAAGCATCAGAAGAGCTGGCAACCAATTTATCAGATTAATCTGATATGTTTCCATTTCCCTAAGTCAAACTCTTTGTTGAAATGCCTTCTTAGCCTTCAATAAAGAAACCTTGAGGAGGAAGATGGTCCTTCTAAAACTGTCAAAGGGAAGCACACTTATTTTCCTTCCTAATGTGAAGAACAGCCAATTAATCCACTACGGTACAAACATCACACATGAAAAACATTAGAAGTATTTAAAGCTCCAGGAAACAGATGATTTACTAATGCATTCTCGTCCACAAAAGTATCGTCTCTTTCCCAAAAGTGTTTTTTACTGGAGCACTGGATTCTGTCTGTTCTGACATAGATGTGTTGCCTGACCCTATAATAAAGCAGAGGAAGCTGTCTTTTCCTAAGGCTTACCTTGTGAAACAGATTTGTTTTTTTAATTTTCAGAGACTGAGAGATGCTAAAAGGTATACATTTGGGGAAAGATCTGCAATTTGTTTCAAAATATGAATTAGCATGGCATTTGTTCTCTCCACTAGAGAGAGAATACATCGAACATTGTGGTCAATTTGTCAACCAGCTTCCTTTCCGTTCCTTGATGGGCAGAACTGGTTGTACCTCGGTCTATTCAGATGGCCATAATTCTGAAGCAAAAGCTGACAACTACTTAGCTAATATTCTTCTATTACAGCTTTTTTTTTTTTTTAAATCATACCTTTTTACATTAACCCTTGTTCCTAATTATAACAGATACTGGCCAGCTGCAGAAAAATCTCTCACTCTCACTCACACCCCCTATATACACAATATATTTTCTCAAAAAATTACATTGTTCAAAGTATCTAAAAATTAACTGCAAAGTTGACTTACCTCCCCAAATGCACCTCTTCCAATTACTTTTATAATTTCAAAGTCATCTCGATGAAGCTGCATTTCCTTCACCAATTGTGTAAATGGTTTTGCTGTTAAAAAAGTAAAAATTAAAATTTTAAAACATGGAAGTATTACAAAACAAAATATTTACAGCTCTATGTCAACGTTATCTTTAAAGGGGAGCCATATGGCTTTTCATCAAGAATATGTTAAATATAAATACAAGCAAACCAAGAAAGCTAGAAAATTAAGACTTACCCCTATATGGTTATGACTATTTTCTTCCACTATTTGATCTGAGGAAGTGGGTCTGGCCCACGAAAGCGCATCATCTAATAAACCATCTTGTTAGTCCCATTTAATCAGTATTTAGAACTACAGAATAATGTCAGACCTTTGTATAGGATTATTTTTGCATTCTCCTATCCCCCAAAAACAATTACGTGTCTTTAGTTCTCTAAAAATTAGATGGAAATATTCAACATTTTTGTTTAGGATGACAGCTGATTATAAAAACAATAATGCAATTTGTTGTGCAACTAATATTCTCATAACACAGTCTATTTGCCCTATTGATACAGAGCAGTCAGCACAAGCACTAGGAAATGCTCTGTACGCTGTTTGAGTATGTAGATACAAAATACATGCATTCGAGATTAGTCCAGAAGATTTTATAATCTGATTAATCCACCAAGGATACGCAAATATATACAGGGCATGAGTTGTTCTTAAAATATTTCAGGAATTAGATATTGTTTCAATGGAGAAGGTTAAGGATAAACCAAGCAGAAAACTGCTAAACCAAGAAGAAAATTCAGTACACTAGTCAGCACACAGAAAAGACGCTTATTTAACATTATCTAATTTTATTTATAAAGACTAATTCAACATCCACAAACTAAATTTTTATTAGCCATTTTCAAAGGATAAGTGCATACTGCACTCAAGAACGATAAAGTCATCTCCCAGAATTTGGCTGCTTTAGAACCTAAGACATTTTTGAACTTTTGTCTCTTTTCTTCTAACAGGTATGGTGACTTGATTGGGGTTCCTGCTGGGATCTATCTTTGAAGTCTTGTAGTTTCGGAGTTAACCTGTGATCACTAGATCAACTCCCTTGATTTTTCTTACTTGTTCTCCATGGATACTGAAACATTCAGTTACACTATATGTAAGAGATTTCACCCATTTCCCTACCCCTTTTGTAATGTAGAATAGGGGATTAATAGGAATTCTTGCATTGTGGATACACAGGAACCCTGTTCTAGATAATGGGCTCTTTATTTTCACCATTTAACCTAATTAATACTAAGAAATAAATGAAAAGGGAGAAAAAAGATTTAACTTGGTGGTGACTGAATTGTGGAAGAACTACTTGAGATCCCTTAGAGATTTTATCATGGTTTCAGCTTTAATTCTTTAAAGATAAAAGTTCCCTTCTCTTCACCAACCACCACCCACCCATTTACACTTCATTGGGTTTAAATTTCTAGGTCTAAAAATTACCAAACAAAAATATTTTCAGCTGCAATAACTCTGTATAAAAAATGATGAGAAGTCTTGTGGCACCTTATAGACTAACAGCAAGGAGTCCTGTGGCACCTTATAGACTAACTGAAGTGTGGGAGCATAAGCTTTCATTGGGCAAAGACCCACTTCGTCAGATGCATGACATAGACTTCAGTTAGTCTATAAGGTGCCACAGGACTCCTTGTAGCTTTTGCAGATCCAGACTAACACAGCTATCCCTCGGATCCTGTATAAAAAAAAGGTTGGATGTTTTTATCCATAGCCACACCCTCCCTTCAAGTTTGATGGCACTAACCTTCTTCTAAACAAGAAAACTGAGAATCAGAACCCTCAATGCACAATTCTACTGATATGTACCTCCACATGAGACAAATATCTAGCACAACACATACTGATCTCAATTGGGGCTGGCTGACACCACCATAAATACAGTTCAAGGGGCAATTCCTCAGCAAAACTCCACTGTACTCAATGGAACTAAACCACCTCACCAGCAGAGGATCTGAACCAATAAATAGTACTGGTAATTTTAACAACTGCAGCAATCTGGAGATCTAATGCATTATAGTTCTTCTGCAAGAGAGTCTTCACTGATTTGTCTTTCCTACTGAAAAATGAACCTCCACTTATTTAAGAAACACATCCTGGAGCTCTAGTCTAAGGTTATGATTTTGTACCAGCTGAACATAGATCACTATGGGAAGAAGTTACATTTTTGCTATGGGCACTCTGCAGTTTGAGACCATATTAAAATGGCTGGTAAAGAATCTGGACAAATATACACCAGTAGCAGACTGACCAATGTAAGAAATGCAGCCTGTAAAGCTGGTAAGAATTTTCTTGGAAAGTTATTTATTGATTTATTTTGAACTAAAATGTTGTTTATACTTGAATGTATCTCTGCTTCCATGTTGGACTGTACAACAGGGATTTCTATAATGTTAAATTGAAATATCTTCCAGTTTTCTTTTCTTGGTTCTACTTGTACATATTTTTAGTGCCCCATCTCTCCAGAGACATGAGTTAGTAGTGTGCCTACGCCTGGCAAGATTAAGAGATGAGTAAGAACTTGCTTGGTAATGTACGGTTAGGTTGCCTCCACTGTGCACATCACGATGATTCATAGTGGCGTATCCATCACTGTATTATTTTTATTATTGAACAGCTATTGTCGTTTTTTTCATTCATAGGCCACAAGGCATGTTACAAAGGACAAGTGTCAAACTCTATTCTATAAATAGGGAAACTGACAGTGTTCTCACTAAGCGGCGAGGAGTCCTGTGGCACCTTATAGACTAACTGAAGTCTATGTCATGCATCTGACGAAGTGGGTCTTTGCCCAATGAAAGCTTATGCTCCCACACTTCAGTTAGTCTATAAGGTGCCACAGGACTCCTTGCCGCTTTTGCAGATTCAGACTAACACGGCTACCCCTCTAATACTTAAATGTTCTCACTATCGATCTGATACGAGTTAAGTGCACTATTCTACTCTCTTTTATAGATAATTTTGATTATGTAAATTCAAAATTGGCTCATTTAAAATAAAAGAAATACTTTTTGAAGCACTTCACATTATTAAATAGTAGCATGCATTATGGTGGTGGTTTTGCTTGCAGCATTTACTAACTTATTACACATGCTGCTGACAGGATTGCATTATCCATAGATAACTCTGGTTAGTTTAGGCATGAAAGATTTTTAAGGCTTTGCAAAGGGTGACCAGAACTTTGTGCACTATGAATGCTATTAAAATTTGAAACTGTCTGAGGTGCTTTACCAACAGAATAAAAAGACCGTCCCCACTCGATGGAGTTCATAAACTAAGAAAAGAAACTGATAGACTGATGGGGGAGTACAAAAGATGTACCTATATTTTTACATCCATTAAGTAACAGGAATCTTTCACGGGGTTTTGTAGGAAAAGGCATTACATTTCAGAAAATAAGGCCTATATGCTTTCAGATCATAACACACTACATATTTTAATAATGGTCCAAAATGTATAATGACTAGGAGAATTCCAACACAACCTACTTTCAAGTTAAACAATTTTTCTATCATACATACCTTTATCCACTTCCCCCTTCTCATAGCAGAGAATTTTATGGAATTTGCCTTCCTCCTTGCTCTATTATACTAAATCTGATATTTCTTGTTTGTGCAAAAAGGAAATACAGCTTGAATAAATAAACTTTACTGTCTGATGGTGTGGACATGTGATTTAAGTTAGAGTTGGCAAATTCCTAAATAGAGTCAAAGTAGGAACTTTTGAGAAGTGTTTTGGCAAGATATACCACATACGTATTAGCAGCAAACTGAAAGGGAAAGCTTTTTTTAAACCATCACACCAAATTTATCTAAAGAATTTTTCAAAATTTTCAACTATAGAAACATGTATTTCCATTTTCTTATTTACACAAAGCATGGTAGAATATTACTTGAAGAGAAAATTCATGTCATAGAAAGTATAGGATTGATACAGAATGTAGATGCGTATCTAAAAGGAGAATCCTGTACCAGTTGCAGATAGGGATGTAAAATCCCAATCGATCAGTTAACCAGTTAAATGTTAGGTCAGCATAATGTTCTACTGGTAAACTAAGCGGGATATGGGCAGGGGCCGGCTCCAACCCAGCTGGCACAGTCCCAAGCCCAGAGGCCTCCCATTCCCTGCCCCATATTGGGGCCGGCTGCCGGCTCCCAGCCCCCTTGTGGGAGCAGGGGCTGCCGCTGGCTCCCAGACGCTGCCCACGGGGGCCCGAGTCATAGACAGAGACTGCTACTGGCGCTGGAGCAGTCCTGTCCGCAATGGGCCTTCTGTGGGGCTGGAGCAGCTCTCTGCTTGCAGCAGGCGGGAAGCTACTTCAGCTCCTACCACTTACCAGATAATTGGAAGTGGTAAGCATCACCTATTAAGGGTGATGCTTACTGGTTAAGTAGTTAATCTTTCACATCCCTGGTTTCAGAAGCAATAAACAACTTACACCACCACCACATAACCTCATCTGCATGCTTCTTCACCACACTTCTTATACCATCAACCTACAGAAATAACCCCAAGTGTGCTTGGCACTGTGACAGACAAGTAGAAAGCTCTTTTACAGCCTAAAGAAATAGGACACATCTGAAAGATAAAACAGGAAATACAAAGGGTGTTTCCATTTTTGTATGGGGGAGGAGAGAGGGAAGCGGGGAAGTGTGTCTGAAGTGAAAGGATGAAGAGGATAAGGAAACATTTTTACTTAAACTCCCTTTTCTTCATTATTGACCTCAACAACATTAAGTTTTGTTTGCCCTCATTACACCCTTGAAAGAAATAACATTCCTGTGATGCTGCTACTAGTGCAGTCCTCAAACATGTTTAACTAGTTGTTCTATGTATACATTTACTCAGGACTTGAAAAATGTATCCACTGCTGGGAGCCCAAGACCTGTTTACTATATAGGGTGAAAAATACCTGCTCCTCCTCATTCCATCTTACCAATCTACTACTCCTTCAATTTAAAGAAATACACCTGTACTGTATTTAATTGTGTAATGTCAATCAGACCTCCAA